GTTACTTAGCAGTGGAAATTACTTTTTTTTACATTGCAAACTGCCAGGCACTTAGGAACTGTATTTTACTTCTGTTAAGCTTTGACTGGAAATCAAATGGGTAAAATGTAGAACATTTCTAAGATGGTCGTTAACTTCGTTAAAGAATTGTACGTGAGTGGAAACTGGGTCATTTGTACAGTTTCGTAGCAAACAACATTCTAAAAGTATTTCAGGCTGGATAGATGTTAAGTACTGTAGTGACTTCGCATGAGTCTGCTGAAGTTCCAAGAACGGAAGTACCACAGTAGTGTGCTTTAGGCAAAGTACGTGGAGATTCTTTCCCAACTCTTGTGATGGAATTGTCATAAAATGAGCACAAAGTGAAATTCGGTAGATCTTGTTCTGGTAGTGTTTCTGCACAACTTTGAAAATAAATAGTAAAGGTATCTGTTACAGAGGAATGTGCAGCCTGCTTTACAGCATTTGCATTGATCTGTGGCTTTTTGCATACATTACTGTAAGATGTTTTTTAAAAGCAGAATTTGTTAGAAACATGCTCATTCTGAGTGTAGCAGGAAAAGCTATGTTCAAAAGCGTATCTAATTTGGAGTGCTAGAGCTTCAGCATTAGCAGTGGTTGGCTTTTGTGCTCAGCTTCTTGAAACGTGGATTTAAGAGGAGAATGATTATCCTGGTATCTGTACCAAGATGAGATTTAACAGGCATAATCAAAACTGCGTTTGATTGCTTGGCTCTGGCAAGAATGAAAGGTGGAGCATTTGCACTTCCCAAGCATAGTCTTTAATTGCAGCATCTTTAATAAGTGTGATTACCTTCATTTCAGCCAAAAGAATTAGTTGACTGTAATTTATATACAGTTGACTCTGTGCAATTTATATACAGATGATGCATGGTAGACACTTATTTACATACATTAACATGAGAATGCTTTGGAGAGGATGCCAACAAAAAGGTTGAAAGCCGTGATTCTTCGTGTTCACTTTGTACTAGTTTTCCTGACGTTTGATGTGGACTTGAAGTGTTACGGGGAAGTGGACTGCAAGGTTCCATATTTCAATATAACAGATTCCCTTCCAAGTAAAATTACGGTAAGTGTGGGATGATTGCAGCCACTGGGTAATACTGTATAATTATATACTTACAGGTCGGGTCCTTCAGAGAAGACTTGAAAATAATTATTTTTAATTAGAAGCTATATGAAGTTTTGTCTGTGTTACAGAAATTGTAAGCACTTTTTGCAGACTGGTGGATCTCTACTCGTATTTCAGTGGTGAAAGCTAGAATGTGAAAGTAGAAGTGATGAGATAGTATCTTCCATAACATTCTCGTAGGAAAATTGAAGAAATGTGGGATAGGTGATTGGACAGTAAGGTGGATTGTTAACTGGCTCAACAACAGAGTTCAGAGGGTTGTGATCAGCGGCACAGAGTCAAGTTGGAGGCCCGCGGCCAGTGGTGTTCCCCAGGGATCAGCGCTGGGTCCGATTTTGTTCAATATCTTCGTCAATGACCTGGGTGAAGGGACAGAGTGCACCCTCAGCAAGTTCACTGGTGATATGAAACTATGGGGGGGTGGCTGATAGCCCAGAGGGCTGTGCTGCCATCCAGCGAGATCTGGACAGGCTGGGTGAAGGTGAACCTCATGAAGTTCAGTAAGGACAAGTGGGGAGTCCTGCATCTGGGGAGGAATAACACCAGGCACCAGCACAGATTAGGGGACGTCCTGCTAGAAAGCCCCATGGAGAAAGGTGTTGGAGTCCCAGTGGGCAGTGAGTGTCCCTGGGACAGCACCGTGCCCTTGTGGCCAAGAGGGCCAATGGGGTCCTGGGGGGCATTAAGAAAAATGTGTCCAGCAGGGCTAGGGAGATTCTCTCCCCCTCTAATCTGCACTGGTGAGACCACACCTGGAACATCCAGTTTTGGGCTTCCCAATTCAAGAGAGACAGGGGTTTACTGGAGAAGGTCAACGGAGAGCTACAAGGATGATTAAGGGACTTGAACATCTCTCCTATGAAGATAGATTGAGAAAACTGGGGCTGTCTAGTCTTGAAAAGAGAAGGCTGAAGAGGGGGTCTCACTAATGTATGCAGATATCCGAGGCCCCTTAAAGAAGAAGGAACCATCTCTGTTTGGTGGTGCCCAGTAATAGGACAAGGAATAATGGATATAAGCTAGAATGTAGTAAGTTCCACCTCAACATGAGGAGAAACTTCTTCCCTGTGAGAGTGCCGGAGCCCTGGCACAGGCTGCCCAGAGAGGGTGTGGAGTCTCCTCTGGAGACTTTCAAACCCGCCTGGACACGTTCCTGTGTGACCTACTGTAGGTGACCCTGCTCTGGCAGGGGGGCTGGACTAGATGGTCTCTAGAGGTCCCTTCCAATCCCTGACAGTCTGTGATTCTAAGATATACCTGTTCAACCAAAGTGGAATTAATATGTGAGTGTGGATGCAAAAATTTTGAATTATGGATGCATTTGAAGTGGAAGTTGATATTGTTTCCAGTATGAGGCAGCTTGCAGACTCACAGTGCCATAGGGGTTTTTTTTCTCCTTACTTAAGTGGAATTCCTTTCTATCTGCACTTCCTTTGAGAGCAAGTCTGATGAGTTGTCTGACCTTCTCTATTAATTTTCTGTACCTTTTCAGCTTTGTACAGTGTCTGTGCAAGTCATCCCCCCCAAACTGCATGTCCTTGTATTCTTCTGCAGTCATTGATGCCCAATACTTGTAATAGTTGGGGTGAGATGGTTTTATTTACAAATATTTGCAGAATGCTCTTGCTGCTTTTTCAGTCCTCTTTCTTACTTTCTTCTCGTTGCCGTTCAGAATGGCGAGAGGGTTACAGGGTCTGCTTTCCTCCTAACTGCTGTAGAGACTGCAATGAGGAGCAGCATATGGGGATATGGGAGAATGCTGTTTAAAACTTTTATCCCACCTGGAAATGATGAGACTGAAGTGAAGCTTGTACCTCTTAAGGCTTTTATAGGTTTAGAGATACAACGTGACAAAATCAACATTGAAAGCGGAGCAGAGATGCAGATGAGAAGTAAATACAGCGACATACTAGGGGAACAGACTACAAGTTTTCAAGTAAATGAGGGTGCTTACTTAGAAAGGAGGATACGTAGAAGAAATATGGGAGTAAAGAACAGATATGCCACAGTGAAATGCTGGTCCAGCAAAATATGCCTGTTGGTTATGGCACAGCAGAGTTAATGCTGCTAAAACTCTGCGGGGCTTCACTGGAAAATAATGCTTTATCCTTGAAGATGACTAGTTTGCTGCAGAACATTTCCGAAGAGATTTGTGTCAAACTGCGCCTTTTTTTTATGCTGGTCAGGTGACTCAAGTGTGCTGCTCTGGGAAACTTTCTTCATACTAAGCAATGTAAATGGCTGATTATTTGTTTGGCTCATTCTTAATGGGTTCAGTTGTCTTGATATGTAATCCAATATGAAGCTGGAAAAAAGAAAACTTTTAAAGTTAGTAATTGCTCCGTGTGTGTGAAAGTCCAAGAAACTGATCAGTTAATTCTCTTACATTGAGTTTAAGTATTTTGTGAAACCTGATTATAAACTTCGACAGCACTTATTTTGTCATTTCCTAAATTTGCACAAATGGTTCTATTTCAGTTGTGTACTAGGTGTTGCTAAAATTCTTGACACAGAGCTGGTTTTAGTGTTGCTTTAAAAAGCAAGCTACTTCTATCTTTTTCAGTCACGTTAACATAGATTTATCAGTGCAGCAATACTGATAAACTTAGATTCCTGCCATAACATGTTTTGTAACTAAAGTAGTACATGTGTAATTATGACTCTTTACTTCATAAACTTTATTTACAAAATTCTGTTAAATTCTGTGTTAAACTGCTTAACACACTGTTGATAAAAGTAAGACAGCATCTCAAGATGTAGAAGAGGAAGTGTCTCAGGAACCACATACTAACAATTAATAAGAGAGTCTGGTTTCAGTGTGCCCTACTGTCTTACTATCAGAGGCTGTTTGTAGTGAAAAATGCGTGCTTTCAGGAAGAAACGGGGTAAATCTGTAATTATATGCAGGAAATCAGATGATGAAGATATTGCAGTTAAAATACAGAGATACTTTTCTAATATTTTAGGAAAAAAATTGCGAACAGTACTTCTGTAAGAGCTATGTGGCAGGCTTGCTTGTGAGCTATGATGCAGTGATTTATGTTCATGGAAGTATATAAGTAGTACAAAAGTACAAGGGAAGTACAAAACTTGAGAAGCATCTTCTATGCCACTTTATTTTCCTTGGTTTTATTCTTGTCAGTGATGCTAGCTCGAGGTGCCTTTTTGATGTGTGGCTGTATAATTCAGAAATGATTGGACCCAACTGTCAGCTTGTCATAGGCTCTGAAGAACTTAGCAGCAAACAACCAAACAAATAAATGTGAGCTAGCCGTCTAATACAGAAAGCCTTTTGCCACTTGCTTCTGTAATGTTTGGGCTATTGATGATTGGTTAGTTTAGTGCTGGTAAAGGACTGGGATACCAGGCATGGAACGTCAGTAGTAGTAGACTGTAAGTATTTGCATCCCTTGGCTAGATGCTTCAGGAAAGAAATGGGAAGAAACCGTTTTCTCTTGGTAGATAGACAGTGAGTGATTGCTAGATCATGTGGGGGGAAGAAGTCCAAAACGCAAACTCCTGCGGTGGGTTATGGATTTGCTCTCTGTGGGGGAACTCTTAGGGATGGAAATATTTTGAAAGCATGCTCTGCGGCAGGGCACGTTTCATTCCCAAGACATTGTCTGGCCAATTTGGGTGTGTGATGCTATGAAGTTTATTTCTGCAGTGACTCTTTGGCTTGTAGCTACAGTTTTAATTTTGATGAGTGGTGAAATTACTACTTTTTCCTGTGACATTTTCTTCTGATACACATTTTGAGTTCCATTTTAGTTGCTGAGATTTCAGGCTTTCCCTATACTTGAGTAAATAATTTTTTCTTTTTGTTTTTTTTCCTGAATCAGTTACTGAAATCATGAATCCTGTGTATAGCCCTGGATCTTCTGGGGTTCCCTATGCAAATGCCAAAGGAATTGGTTATCCAGGTAAGTGATGCTTTTCATGAGTTTCAGTTACACTGATCTTTGTTTGAAATCGAGAAGAAATAGTCACTTATGGCTTCACGTGTAATCCATTTTGGGATTTGGGTGGGGTTTTTTAAATTTAAAAAGTGACATTTCAAGAGTGGTGCTAGTAGTTCTGTTTTATTTCTAACTGCAGTATCTCTTCCAAAGCAGCTTATTTTAGGAGCTCTAATAATTACACCCTGCAAGAAGAGGAGTCATTCTATTTCTGCTGCTAGTTGGCTGGCACTGTTAACCTTTCTATCCTCTAATTCTTGCTCATGCTATCTGTTTTATGACTGCCTGAGGCATAGCAACAAAGGTGGGACCAAGCAAATGGCCAAAAAATGCTTTTAAAACAGAAATTAAATGTATTTCTTGCTTTTGCTACTGCTTCTTGTTTGACTTCAAGTTTCTCTTCAGGGTTTTTCCCCCTCATCTGCCTGTGAGTGGGCTTCATTTCTGATATCCCCAAAGTTCAGAAATTGAATAAGGCAATAATTAGATTTGGACAGAACTTTCCAGGAAGGCTGAAGAGAACGACTGTGTGCCTCTGTGAGGTATTTCAAGCAGTATGTCTCAGTGCGGTCTTTTCTTGTAGTATCTGCAGGGTGAGGGAATTTCTCCATCCTGGGAGAGGCTGGAGGGTCTTTCAGCTCAGATATTAAGTATCAAACCAATTCAACTTGTGTAGCTTTTACAAGGAGCCTGTTTTGTGATTCTGTTGGTGTCTGGGAGCTAGAAATCATTCTGCACTGTTACTGTTATATTCTTTCTAGCTGTAGTATATTTCTGTATTTTCCTAGTGGTATTTACAGTTTTTCAGCTTAGGCAGTGTACTGGAGTTCCTATTTTCCTGTTCCACTTTGTTCCTTCTTCTAAATACTGGTGCATAAACAAATTTTCTTTGCTGTTGACTTGATTGTTTCAAAAACATTTTCATTTTTATTTTTACCTTTCAGGTACTGGTAATTTTTTTTTCTCAAACTAGTATACCTTGATTTCTATGGGATTTTTAAGGGAAAACCACAAACTGTGTTGCAGTGTTCTTAGGTCTCTTGAGTGACTGAAATGGTGCAGTAATAAATTGTAAAGCAGATGCTGTGTGACCATAAGTCCCACTTGATGTTTTTAGTCTGTATAATTGTTTTAGTGTGGACAACAGTAATTTCGTAATAAGGCAAGGAGCAGTGTTCTACTAATTAGTATCAGTTACAGTACAATTATTTCTGCATTCATAATAGATTGCTTTTTCAAAGTTTTATTTTGCTTTAAGTAAAGATTATTTAGTTATTTAAATATAACTTTGTATTTTTAACTCTATTCATGTTCGTTTATATTAACTAAGAATTCATTTGTACTTCCAACCATTTACACATTGTGTTAAAGCTCTTGTTTGTACTAATCTAAGTGATACCTTAATTTGCTTAGGAAAATACACTATTGTAGGCATAAATAGCAGCTAACTTCTAATCTTTTATTCTGCTGTTACACATATTAGATGACATGTTGAAGTACATAAGTCCTGTATATTTGGTGATCTCCACTTGGTTGTAAATTAGCTTAACTATACTATTTGGAATTGAAGTAGAATCGTTATGGAAGTGCCTTACATGTCCTGCTGCAAGTTGATCACTCAAAGTTCTTCCTTCCAGGAGTCAGTGAGTCAGTTTACCCAGCTGTGATCCTTAAATTCAGCTTAGGCAGTAAGGTCTACAGTGTCGCACAATTACAGGTAGATTTCTGAGCTGCTTGGTTCAGGCTTAAAGATTGTGGAATAAACATAAAACACATTCTCTGAAATAAATAGCAGGCTTGCACTTTAGGATTGTTTTTAAAGAACTCCCAAACTGCTGCATGACTAAGTCTCTCTGCTTCTCCTCATTTAAAAGCTACAGATTCTCCTTTCACAATCATTGAGTTTACATGGGTTACATTGTAATGGAAAATAATTAATATATTGCTAGGTGGAATGTGTCATTTAAAAGCACTCTGTTTTTTAAAGTTGTTTATTATTTAAGAGCTCTATATTATCCTAGACCTGTTTGAGGTCATATGGATTTACAGTAGCAAGGAATTGATCTCCAAGTGTTCACGTATGGATGAGAGGTCTGTGTGGCAGTTAAAACTGCTGCTTGTCCTAGTTACTTTTTTCCCACATGACTCGTTTGTTGGGCAGCTCCCAGGGCTCTGCTGTGGAGCTAAACGTGTGAAGAAAGAATAGAGGACTGAAAATGCATGCAGCATTATTTATGTTGCAGGTGTGTAGCCAGTTTGAGTAACGTGTAAACCTGTGCTAAAGCTTTCACTAGCAGCTTGTGAATTTAAAAACTTGAAAGCTATTTACATTCTGAAAACACATGAATTGGCTCTATTATCTTTACCTTTGATTTTTAAGCCTAATGCTTTCCTTAGTCTTATCCATGCTGACCACCTAATAGTAGTGCCACATGTATGTCACTTGGTATGTTAACGAAGTGCTTTACGGAACTAGTCCTGAGCTAAGGAATATATAATCCTGAGCTAAGGAATTTTTATTGTTAGGACTGATTGCTAAGGACTCTGGGATTTATAGCAAAATAGAAACCCTTGAGATTTGAGTAGTAGTTTAAACCTAGCAGCTTTAAGCTAAGAGTGAATATGCAAATAGTAATTGCCTTTTATCTGGAGAAGCTCAAATCTTGATATATTGATAACAAAATGTGGTAGTAACTTGTTTTTCTAAATACAGGCATTGCTCACTTTTACAGTTTATAATACTGTAAATAAGTTCCTGGGGAGATCATTAACTATGATTAATTCAGACGCTTCACTTATCACAGACTTATATCTTTCAACTAATTGTAGCTTTTGCTGATGCTGTGTTTTGCCTTATGTTGGAGATCAGTATATTGTTATATGAGTTGGGCGATAGTGTTTGTTGTATGCTGGTGCAGAAGCATTGACCTGCCGTTTTGCCAGCACCTGAGAGAACCACTTAGTACTGTTAACTGTCGTAAAGTCCAGTTAGACTGTGCAGTCAGTCTAGAAAATAACTTGGGCATATTCTTTCTTCTAGCTGGCTTCCCAATGGGCTATGCAGCGGCTGCTCCTGCCTATTCCCCTAATATGTATCCTGGAGCAAATCCGACCTTCCAAACAGGTACGTGTGATAGGTATGTCGAAGCAGTAGCTTGAAGTTTGGAAACTGTTAGAGCCAAGGATGAGGAAAAGCTGTAGGGGCTGACAATAACGCGCTGTGGGATAAGTTTTTACGTTACTTTGAATATGACTCATAAGGAATCATCTGATAAATTGAGTATAATCTTAAGTCATAGTGCTTTCACCTTCAGAGAAGGGTATTGTTTCTATGTGTCAGGCTGATATGTGAGGATTGCATTGCTTTCCCTTCACTGCTTCCTTCGTGATTCTACTTGCTTTGCATCTTCCTGCGTGTTTCCAGATTCTTGGTTTTTCTTCTGTCATCTCCAAAATTCTTCTTTTTCATCCTTTTCTTAAACTGTATCTTTCCAAGTTCAGCTTGCTGCCTTCCTTCTGCCCTTACAGTGGTCTTCTTGCACAAACTAATTGTCTGGCAAGCCTGGTTGCTGAGTATAACTATTTTGTCTGTAGTGGATACTTGGGGAGGATTTAGGTAACTGCACTTACATTCTTGTCATTTAAGAGAAGGTGAGTGTGTTCAGCCTCAGAAAAGGGAGGTGGAAAAACAGGCATAAGAAACCCAAGCACTCAAGTTCTAACCCTGTGGTTATTTTGCATACTAGAGAATTCCTTATATCGCTTTGTTGATGTAGATCTGGGCCATCCTTAGGAACTCTCTCAGTTGTGTGTATTATGCTAGTTTTTCAGAGGGACACATGGCACATAACCAAATTTGTTTCTAAATGCCCGTGTGTGATTTACAGTGGTAGGAAAAGATGCTGCCTGAAATTGGGAAGCTTATGTTGTGGAAGCCTGCTGGCAGTAGTGAAGTCCAATGTTTATAACATAAAGTGTTTCGTTAACTACTGGGAGACTCTTAAAAGGGTGCAGTAGCAGTAACGGAGGCAAGAGAGAGTAACTCTTCCAAAATGTTTGCCTGTAGAACCTGTTACAAGTGTGTAGTTGTGTAGCTTTCCTTGCAACTGTGGATTATTTGGATTGGTACAACCTGTGTGTTCAGTTTGCTGCTTAGAGGCATAGTGAATAGAGTCTTCCGCCTTGAATTTAAGGTAGGGAAACAGATGTTATAACTTCCAGCAATTAAAAAAAAAAAACCACAAAAAACCAAAACCAAACCAACCAACAACATCTTATGTATTTCATGCTATACAGCAAAGTTAAGAGTAAGAAAATTTTCACTTTTGTGTGAAAAACAAATACAGGTGTATAGAAGTCATATACCATCTTTGAATGTCCTTTTTTTTTAAAAAAAAAAGCTAATACTATTAGTCTTAATAGCTGTTAATAGAAAATAAGCGTTTTCTCAGAACTAAGAATATCTTTAAATTATAGCTGCTTCTTAAACTAAGCAGTAAAGTTCAAAATGTCCAGATCTTCTAATTCAGGCAGGTAACAACTTGAAGTACTTTGTCCTAACAGCTGAGATTTTTTTTTTATGTTTTTTTTAACTTTTCTAATGTAACTGCCTGTTTGTAGAATCAAAGTAAATCTTGTAAATCCGCATTGTGCAGCAGTACTGAATGTGCTCTAGCACTGCTGTTCAAAAAGGGTACTTTCTTACAGGTATCTGTCTTAAATTTCTGTGGGTTTGCATAACCATGTGCTTCTAAGGTCTTTGCTCCCTGTAAGGGAGAAATAAATTAGATGGGGAAGCAGAACACCTCTGGCACAGATGTACCACTTGGCAAGAATGAAAGTTAAATTGCCTGTGCAGCTATATCAGTGGGTTTTTAGAATGAGAGTGGGCTTGACTGAGGACGTAATTGTAGTTCAGTAATGATGCTTTGTGTTCAGCATTTTGTAGCTGAGTTTTTCAGCACAAATAGCTCCCTATACTAGAAATAGAAGTTACTTCCTCAGCATGCTCTGTTTGTCAAATACTTAGGATCTCTAAAACCAAGTGTTCAGTGTAAGTGCTGTGGTAGCTTTCTTTAGTGTCTCTAAAGGTGATGAACCTATTTAAAGAAAAAAACCCCATAGTAAACCTATTTCCTTGTTAACAGAACAATTTTCAGTTTGAAGGGTGGAATGAAGTCAGAAGGAAACTTAGACTTCTGCCAAAAGGACGGAAGTCATCTGTCTGGATGGACTGACTTTTCACAACACACATGCTGGTGTTCTCTCAGCTGCAAGGCTTCAGATCTGTTCTCTGCATCCAAGTCAGCACATTCTAGACAGTTAACCTAATCTCTATTCTCATAATGTCCTTTTCTTTTTCCCCTGTAATTACCAAGTGTTCCTTCTTCCTTACCTTGTTCTAGTACTAGTTTGTACAATTGTAACTAAGTGGAAGTGGTACCTGTGGATGTTGCGTCTCCTGGTGTGGTGGACCTGCACGTGACCCCAGATCTTTTCAGCATAGCACAGGCTGGGGCCTTGGTGGTTTTTCCACAATCACTTGTGCCTGTTGCTTTCTACCCTGGATGTCATTACTGGTGGGTGCTGCTGCCAAGGTTTTTGTAGTCTCACTCTGGCCATTAAGCCATAGTATAATCTTGGCAGTGTAACGTGCGGCACCAGTGGTGCTTTTCATGGATGTCCTTCAGGCTTCATCAAACCCTTGTTCTGTCATCTGGACAGCTCGGCTGTTGAGGGCTGGAGAAATGACAGAACTGTCGTTGGGCAGGGTCTGAGCCAACTGTTGCTACTTACCCCTGAAAAAATTGAATAATTCCCAACAGTTATAATGCACAGTGGTTTGGGGGGCCTTGCAATAAATAGGAATGCAGAATTCTTTCTCATAGATGTGAAGATTAACTCTAATGTGTAAAAACAACTCTTAAGTGATGATTAATGGTATGTCTTTGTATGTAATACACAAAAATATTTAAAGATATTACAGTGACTTCAAAGTTTAGTTTGCAGTTCCAATGAACTCTACAGTTCTTGTGGTTTTAAGGCATGTCCTTTTGTAATTATTTTAGCTAGTTCTGAAAATGCCAGGAAAAAGTAGAAATAAATGTAAATTGCAGTAGCAGTTACAGGTTATGTCTGCCTGCTCTCTGAAATCCATCTTGAGTTCTTTACGTGATTAAGACTTGAAATTTTTGTTCTTGTGCGCCGTCATCTTCTACAGAAGGTTACTGCAGTTTAATTAACTGTTACTATGTTTTGTCAGTACAGTTTGGGGTGCGTTGAAAACTGGCCTGATGGTAACATGAGCCACATCCTCCTATGAAGGAACGTAGCCTAATATTCTGAATCCAAGTATTTAATGATATTACGACACAAATCCAATCCACTTTTTTTTATCCCATATCTATAAATTTGAGAAGCAAATTGTGCGAAAATGCAGTTATCTTTTAATGCTTAGCTGACACAGTCAAGTGTTATTTTCATACTGGTACCAGAATTATGTAACTGATAGAACTTGTACTTGGATATTGAAACTAGCCTGCTAAGTACTCACTTGAAGATTAAGGAACTTGGACGTGAAGAAAATTGTTACCTCTGACTTTAGAAAGCAGTGTACTGACACTTGTTTTTCATGTTTTTAATGCAGATTTGCCTTTGTTTCAGGTTACACACCAGGCACCCCATATAAAGTATCTTGTTCGCCTACTAGTGGAGCAGTGCCGCCCTATTCTTCGTCACCGAATCCCTATCAGACTGCTGTGTACCCAGTTCGAAGTGCCTATCCACAGCAGAATCCGTATGCACAGGTAAAGAAACAAACACAAAAAACTCTCTGCTTGGATAGTATTTTACCTTCTAATACCTGCTTGAACTCTTAACTCTGTCACACGTATTTCTTCATGGATGAAGAGAATTTTTAGCTGCCTGAAGAATTCTTAATACACTGATACAATTAATACTCTGATACACTTAATACACCGATATACAGATTGTGTCTGTGCGCACATTTACACTCTCTGGCGTGACACATGATAATGTGTTCAGTCTTTGAAGAGGCAGTCGGCTCAGTAGTTTTAAAAACGTGTGCTGGGTGCTTTAACTACCACATCCTGATTTTCTTTTGTCAAAAATTGTCACAAACTTGCATTATTTTTTTTATATTTTTTTTTTAGGAAGCCTCACGTTATTCAGTGAGTTACCATGTCTCATACTAGACAAACTGTTGAAAATTAGAAAGGATAGAATTAATACACTTCACTAAACATGATATTTTGGGGAAGACTTGGCCCCCTTTTTGCATAGAGGAAACTTGCCTGGCATGTGTACAGTAGTTGAAGGGAATTGATAAGCACATAGCAAGATCTATGCAATCTGCTTAGTATATTTGGATTGGACAGTGAATGACAAACAAGCCCTTGTTGTTGAAGGTACAGTCAGCATTGGAGTTCTGCAAAGGTCACTTAGAGTGTTGCTCGAAGAACCATAAAAAGGGGCTAAATGTTAAAAAGTTTGCCAGCGAAACACAATTGGAGTAGTTGAAGTGAATATTTTGGCTTCTGTTCTATAAATACCTTGCATCTTTAGAATAATGCTTTTATGATTCATGAAAACAGACATCATTTAACTTCCCCACCAGATATATTGTAATTACATTTATTTTTTCCCCCCTCCAACAGCAAGGCACTTACTACACACAGCCTTTATATGCAGCACCACCCCACGTAATTCACCACACCACAGTTGTGCAGCCCAACGGAATGCCAGCAACCATGTATCCTGCTCCGATTCCACCACCGAGGGGAAACGGTGTGACTATGGGGATGGTGGCTGGGACTACTATGGCAATGTCAGCAGGTAAGTGAATTTATAATCCTAGAATGTTTTGGGATGGAAGGGTCTTTAAAGGTCATTTAGTCCATCCCCCCTGCAGTGAGCAGGGACATCTTTAACTCCATCAGGTTGCTCAAAGCACCATCCAGCCTGACCTTGAATATTTCCAGGGCTGGGACTTCTACCACCCCTACCACCCCTCTGGGCAACTTGTTCCAGTGCTTCACAACCCTTGCTGTAAAAAAATTTCTTCCTTATAACTAGTCTAAACCTACCCTGTTTTAATTTTAATCCAGTATCCCTTGTTCTATCTCAATAGGCCCTTCTAAAAAGATTGTCCCCATCTTTCTTATATGTCCCCTGTAAACATTAAAAGGCTGTTTTCTGGAGCCTTCTCCCAGTTGAACAACCCCAACACTCTAAGCTCTTTTTCATAGGAGAAGTGTTCCAGCCCTCTGATCATTTTTGTGGCCTCCCCTGGACTCACTCGAGCAGGTCTGTGTCTTTCTTACACAGAGGACCCCAGAGCTGGAAACAGAGCTGCAGGTGGGCTCTCACCACAGCCGAGTACAGGAGAATTGCCTCTCTAGACCTGCTGGCCACACTTCTCTTGATGCAGCCCAGGACACGGTTGGCTTTCTGGGCTGTGAGGGCACATTGCTGGCTCTTGTCCTTGCTGGCTCTTGTCTGTCTTTTCATCCACCAACACCCCCAAGTCCCTCTCTGCAGGGCTGCTCTCAACCCCTTCATGTCACAGCCTGTACTGATACTGGGGATTGCCCCAACCCAGGTGTAGGACCTTGCCGTTGGTTTTGTTGAATCTCATGAGGTTCACATGGGCACGTTTCTCAAGCTTGTTCAAGTCCTTCTGGAGGATAGAAAACATAATCCTTATGTTTTCTTGGTGAAGCTCTTCTTTCAGGTCGAGACAACGTGACTGCATTACAAAAAAAACTATGCCAGAGGTGTGTGTGGCAGAGTCATAAAACTTTAGAAGGGACTTCTGTAGGCCATCTAGTCCAGTGTCTTCAAGGCAGATCCAGCTAGACCAGGTTGCATATTTGCTTAGTGGTGTTTTCATCTCTAAGGATGGAGAAGCCATATCCCCTTTTCAGATATTAGTATTATCATAAAATATTTTTTCTTTATATTTTGATGGAATTTCACTTACTCTTGCCTGTTTTGCTTCTCATCAGTGTCAAGAATCTGACTTCCTCTTCTCTTTACCTATCTCTGTGCCTACTTGAAAACAACTGCTTCAGGCTGAGGAAAACACTGTTCTCAGCTCACTCTTCATATCGCTCCTTTTGTACGTTGAGAAACAACATTTTATGTGTTTTCCCTGTCTGCAGGTCTTGCAGTGGCTGAAGATGTCTCCTTCCTAATGCTGCACTCTTAGTGAAGAAAATATTGTTTAACCAATAATCTAGGTTCATCTGAGAGTGTTTACTGAGGGGATGTCATGCTTTGTTACTTAGTGGATGTTAACTCATGAAGACATGTCTGCGTTCAGTCAAAAGATACTCAGTTCAGTAATGTAAAAAACAAGAGCCATGAGCTTGTTTACAGATTCTGGTTTTTTATCTTGTCAAAAGTATCACTTGATTTGAGGAATCCCCAAACCAGGGAAATAATGTCACAGACTGAGCTACCCCTGGAGTTTTGTAGGTGGGTGAGCACAGCCCAGGTGTTTGCTGTTGTTTCTATAAAGTGCTATAGAGCAAGACTGTTAAGATCCTTCTCTGCCAGCCTGCTTGTTTCTGAAGCCCCTTAGTCTGTAAAAATGTGTCTGTAATAAGGCAACGGAGCTAATGCATTCCGATCTATCAGTCAAGTTATCTCTATCATCAAATATTCTTATGGCAAGGAAGACTTGCTGGGGGAAAGTTTTGCAGGGAATAATGCTTATCTTGCAGGGTTTCTGCTAGAGCTGTTTTCGAGTAATGAGTGTCTGTGTGTGTGCTTTGGACTAAACATCAAAATGATCCCCTTGCAGAAAATGTTTGAAGGAAGATTGAGGCTGGAGTGCCAAATGATACTGGTAATTTTAAATCAGAAGATGAGCAAGCTGTAATTGTTTTTAAAATTAATGCTCTTTTTTTTTCTTTTTCTCTGTAATAGAATTTGTACTTACTGAAAAAAAAATGTTCTCTTCACCCTAGGTACTTTGTTGACAACTCATTCCCCAACTCCAGTAGCCCCTCATCCAGTTACTATGCCCACATACCGGGCTCCAGGAACACCAACCTATAGTTATGTGCCCCCGCAGTGGTGATCATCCTGGCAGTCAGTGTAAGTTACCTGAAACCCGTTAACATTTCTTATAAATGGCAGCATTGCAGGTTCTTCTGTGGAGATTTTCCAGAAGGTAAGCAGACTGGGGTGCTTCTGCAGTATTCTAATTGAGTAAGAATACACAAAAATTGCTGCTTAGGTACTAGCTGTTCCCTGCAAAGGTGAGAAGCCTGTTGGGACTTCTGTGGTTTGTATCTTCAGAAATCGTGAATCGTTTTCATAGTTCGTGACTGTTGAATGCGAAAGAATGAGCCTCAAGTTTGCCTTATAAAAGTACACCTGGGACTAAATATATTCAATGTTTTGGGTTTGTTGGTAGTTGTTGGATTCCACAGTACTGCCATTCCCAAACGAAGCAGTTTGTGTAACTTTGCCGTCTTATTTTAGATTGGTTAAATATGTAGGCAAGTATTTTACTTTGAAGGTGAGTCTTTCTCACAAGCTGCTGAAACAAATACATAACCCTGAGTTTTGCTTATTCATTCTGTTGCAGGTAGTTCATACTTACTGCAGTCAGTGTGGAAAAATCGTGCAGTCAGCACAGAAAAATCATTTCTAGCATGGACCAAAATTTAGATCTTGAGTTTCAAGAAAAGGAGTATTAATTTTAAAATCTGCTATAGGGTGGGATGGATTTTGGGGGCGTAATGTGTGTCAAACTGTCACAAAGCGTGATGGTTTTGGGATCCTCACTTGTGTTTCTGTTTTTATAGCATGCACTGAGAGCAGCTTCATTTGAAATAAGCGCTTGTTAGACCACTTGAACTAAAAATTGTCACCTTAATCCATTTAGCTAACTTTGTTTTAACTTTCTTTGGATTTCTGTTTTAGCAGTTAAGAGTCCACAGTTCTGTGAATACAGGTGACTGCATTCCCTTTGAGTTAGTGATGCAACAGCCGTTTCTCATTTTGTTGTGATGCTGCCTATCGGACTGCAGATCTGAAATGTTTCACATACAGTATTTCATCGAAGAATGTCATGTTACATGCGTATAAAAATAGACTTTTGCTGTGACTAAAGTTGTAACATATCTTTTTAATATTGCACCTTAAGACAAAACTACTAGTTATGACAGAAAGCTGGAGTGGGCATGACGGGAGAGAGAATCAGTGTAGTGATTTTTTTTTTTTTTTTTTTTTTAACCTAAAAGCCTATAGATTTTAGTTGACTGGCTAAGTGCTGGTGTAGCGTTATATAATGCTTAACCCCCATTGTGTGTGTGTATCGATGTGGTGCTTGCAGTGTTTGAATGCTCTGCCACACGCAAATAGTATTTCACGTAACTGAGAATATTTCCTCCTTTCCCCCCTCCCAATCTCTTAACGTAGGTTTGAAGATGGGAGATATGCAATCAAGAAATTGAGGTTTAAAAGTTGGTGCTGAAGCCCTCATGCCTCCAACCAGGACTTTTCTTCTGAATGCTTTCGACACTTGGCTAAACACTACTAATTCCTGATCACTGAAGATTTTCCAGTGCTGCATATCTTACATCTTGGAACTCCAGCAGTTAGTCTTAAAGCAAAATCCTGTTTTGTGGACTGTCTTGCAATTTTTTAGCTAATTATAATGATAAAAAGGGAGTATAAATTTATTCTGATCCATATCTAGTTGAATGCATGTTAAAACACAAAAACAAAGCTTGCTCAATCTACCTGCAGTGACTGATGCAAAAACCATCATATGCAAATCCAAAGGAACCGAAAAGTATTTTACAACTTGTATCACTAATGCACTGTTGTAACGTATGCAGGGTCTTAAAAGGTAGAACCATAAAAGTGAGTTTCTTTCTAGAATACCATAATACACGTTAGATAAGTGCTTCAGCCTTTTTCAGGTTGATGGAGTTGCCAGTTTAAAAGGGGCATATTTTTATTTAAGTGACGTGTTCTTTTCAAATTCAACTACTAAATTGGAGTGACTGGAAAATGAGTCGGACAAGCTGTAGAAATCCCGCACACGATTAGTTTCCTTCACACCTTTTCATTCTCATTGTATGGATTCAGTGTTATACAGACGTTCTTAAGGGTCGGAATGAAATGACAAAGGTAACGCTGTGTGTGCCAGTAAATAAAAGCAAACTTCCTTGAGGCAAAGCTGGCTCTTGGGAGTAGTAGGAGGTGACATCACCTGCGTAATGAGTTGCATGTCCTGGGGAGATAGATATCCGGTGATGTCTTTCATGTGATGCGAGATGTGTCAAAGTGAGACTGCCACACAGACCGATAGAAAAACACTTTGTTTTAGTTCTCAGTTCAGGAAATCCGTGCTGTTTTTCCTAAAGGATGTTGTAGTCAGCTGAAAAATGTACGTGCAGTTGATCCAGCTTGCTGTCCTGAAACTTTAAGAAATGCTAGGGCTTTCTGCAACAAACAGGAGTTGTCAGCTGCGTGTTGTTCTGAGGAAAGCTTGTGTGCCTGATGAGTATGTTAAAGGGGAACAAATCATTTTAACACAATTTCCTTATTAGCTCCTTGCAGTATGGACTATGGATATGCTGTAGGACAGCTGCCAGAATATAGAGGTTTCAAATAGCTTTTTTTTTTTTTCCCCCCTCCTGAAAATATTTGTAATTGAAGTAGGAGCCGTTTGTTGGTTACAGCATTTTGATGTGTTTTCTTAGTGTTTCTGTATTTTACTTCCTACACTGCACTTGGAAGCACATAAAATAAGACTTGACTGCAGATTAGCATTTCATTGCAATGAGTCATTTCTGATATTCTTTCCTGCAACTTCAATTTTTAAAAAGTACCTCAAAGCAAATGCTGTGGGGATAAAGGGCTAGCCTTAGAACCCATTTGTATACCAAAATTGTTATGGGGAAGATTTTAAATTTTTAAATTTGAATATTGCACATAAAATCAAGGTTTTTCTTAAACCTACTTCACTTACAATTCCAGAAAGACATGATTTTCTTTTTTTTTTTTGGATACGTTCTGCCTGCAATAAATTATGCAGTGAATGGTTATAAAATGTTGTTCCCTTTTAAGCGTTTACACAGAGGTATATCAGGCTGTATTGTTCTTGTAGGTTAACTTCCATTCAGAAGTAAATCTCTTTCTTAAAGTTGTGTATCTAGTTACGCTTTTGTTTTGGGGTGTTCTGCTCCTCTACAGATTTGGCAGCTACTTCAGGGTAGCGTCAGTGCTGATTTATTGCTGCCATTCCAGTACTTTGCCCTGGTGTGAGGCTTACGTACCTTCATAACCCATTGGTGGTTAGAGCTTTCGGTAACTTTATTTTTTTACAGTAAGCACTCTCCATGTTTTGTACTTCCCCCCTCCCCTTTTTTTGTTTTGTGTTTAATAAAGTTTAGGGATTTTTTTGCATGACTCACTGTCAGCGGACGGTCCCCTTATTTCTAATGCCTTGAACGTAACTATATTGTTGGAATAAGTACTTTAAACCTTACTCATGAGCACTTACTGCAGCTTAGGGATTTCCATATGTTTTTATATGGAGCAGAAAATTACCCCAGACAAACTTATCTGAATCTGTACTGCTTCATTCAAGTCTGTTTAACAATTCCATTTGTGTCGTAGAGTTGCAGCTTTCGTTAGTCAGGTGTGCCAGAGAGTACCGTGAACATTCACACAGGCCTTTTGTCCATTTTAGCTGTAGAGAGCGATGTTTTGTGGTCGTGGCATGATTTCAACAGAGAGCTGAGGTATGAAACAGCGCTATGCTGGGGAGAAGCTCTATAAAGAATGAACTCAAAGCTTTGCTGTCTTCTGCCTCGTGACTAGATAAACTCAAGCTTTGAAAATCACAGGAGAGAACTCTCACGAGTGCTGCAATAGACAAGTAGTTGAGGAACGGATAGAACTTCCGATATGTTTGCTCTGACTTCAGATTCCTAAATGTCACCTTGGAACAAGTCTCTACAATACTCCATAACATTCAGGCAGTCTCACTTACTCGAGCACTTTTTTTTTATTTTTTTTTTTCCCTAAGTTGCATTATGGGATTCATCCACGAGGGGGAATCGGTACCTTTTGTAAAAGGTGCTGCACCTTCCAGTTTTGATCGATTATCACCTGGGAGCGTGGAATGAACATGTCTCCGGTAGTTGATACGGAAAGTAACCAAAAGCACAGTGCAGGGGGGACGGGGGGAATATGTGTATATATATAACTATCTTAATGGTATTTTGTTGAAAATAGTAGAAAGCATGGATATAAAACTGCGGCGGGGGAAACTACATCATTAAATAGGCGTTTACACAGTGGGGGTCTTATGAAACATTCTCTCCTGCTTTTTATATAACATTCCCTATTTAGAATTCCTTTATAAATAAATACGCAGTATGTGTTTGCACTAAAGCTCCTCAGCAAATGGAAAGAGCTAGTGCGGTAGAGACATTTCAGATCAAGCTTCTCTTTAAAAAAAACACACAAAAAAAACCAAAAAAAAAGACAAACAGAAAACTCTTATGGCAGCTTTATATGATTAAAAAGAAAAGTACTACTTTAAACCTGGAACTGAAAATAACTGTTGCAGCAATAACAAAGAGAAGTCCAAGAATTTTTTTTTTATTATTATTTTAAATTCAGATTTCAGGTGTTGAGTTTAGATAAAGTATTTTTTAAAAACTGAGGTATTCCCTATGTCAGTTACAGAGTTACAGCTGATGAAAATGTCTTTTAAATGTAGCAGCAGCAAAAGAAAAACGGCTAATAATTGGCACCAAACCCGTGTAGCCCTACTCAGTGGTGTGGTGGTCATTAATGAACCAGTAGGAAGGGAAGCGGAGAACCTACCACTAGATCTTGCTTATGCTTGTAACTGTCTGCTGTTGAAAGTTTCTAG